TTTATACCCCAAATCAGCACTTTTGAAACAGGAAGTGAAATAGAGGGATATGAGGCATGGCTAGAATGGGTGATCTGTTTGGTATTTTGAGCAAAACACTTCATAGACATGTTTTTTATATATTTGTATATATCTGAGACCTATGCTATTGCCTAAAAATAGCATGATAGGTGACCTTTAAATATGTCCCAGTTTATACAAGACATCCTAACACACACACACACCTCAGTCTTTATACGGAATCTAAATCTCTGTAGGGATTGGTCTATTCTCTGGAATGTTGTTCATCAGGCCCATCGAAACACACACTCACAGACAACATGCGCCCTCCTCGACCAGTTGACATTATTTATGAGCAGAGGCAACACCCCACACTGTCACACACACATGTAGCTTCTTCAGTCGATGTGTTTTAGGGTGAACAATTGGGAAAGAGTATGATGTTATTGGGTCATTATAACAGAGCAAGAAAAATAAAAACCCTCATGGTTTAGTCTGCGATTAGAAATGGGCTCTGGGTTGGGAGGTCAGTGATTCTAACCAGTTCACATGGAAGCCATTTTTTATTACAACATTTTTCCAGCTTCCCTCAACATACATGTAGGTTTTTTAGGCAAGGCACTCCCAGCCCCCAGCAGATCTATGTGATCCAGTGACAAACAGCAGAAAAAAGGTTGTGCAACTGGCCTGCTCCCCGGCTGAAAATGAAAACCTTCCCAGACTTCTTTTGAGTTTTGAACTTAATGACGTGAACATTACAAAAGGAAACTCAGGCAAGTTTGTATCACCCAAATAAAACAAAATGTGTAGCTTCCACGAGGCAAAATGAAATCAAAAGACAATTTGGCATCAATTAATGCAGTGTGCATATTATATTGCATAACCTCCTAACATTGTTCCCCACCTCCTAGTATTGTATTGCAGCCCATTTTATGAGACAGTTCATGCAGTTTGTTGAGCTTGTCCTTAACGTCAGGTTAATCACCTTATCAGACACATTCCTGGAATAAGTAATACCGCAAGGGTGATAATAAACACAGATATAGTCTACTGCTAAAGATGCATGTTGCCTTGGTAGATATGCATCTCTCAGATGAATGAGCCAATATGTGAGCATGTGTGGTATGCTGGTGCAGTTAAGGGAGGTGATTACTTCATCAAGTATTAGTCAATTTAGCCAAACGTTGCTTCTTTTTTTAGGGGTGAAATTTCACACTGCATCCAAACAAGATCTTGACAGAAAAAGTTATTAAAAGATCCTTTGCAGTGTACAGCGTGATGGCCCTCTCTCATAAAGCATATGAGACTGGGTAAAATAAATCTGATTCGCATAAAATATGAATTTAAAGCAATAATGACATTATTGTTGTACATGACATGACAATGAATGCAGTGTGCATATTATATTGCATAACCTCCTAACATTGTTCCCCACCTCCTAGTATTGTATTGCAGCCCATTGACAAAAAATATTTTTGTCATTTACTTTTCTTTTTTTTTTCTGCACATCAATAATAAACAAACGTTTTAAAAAGAGCTATATGAAATTGTGCAAGCCTTCAAAGAAACTGTTTGATTTTTGGGGAGTAACACATGCTGGATTATTGGCAGGTAGCTAAATTGAGAAGTTTGCCTATCTTTCTCAGACTGTATCTGTCTGGTATCAAATTACAGTTTCTAGCAAAATTTAGGAAAACCACTGAAATCAGCCAAAAAAATTAAGATGTTACATTTTTTTAGACTGTTGTACTTTTTCTTGCCCAGGACCAATTCCTCTTTTGAATCTCAGCGGGTTTCTCACTACTTTTTTGAAATACAAAGACAACTGCCATATAACCCTGATAAACATATTTTGTACAGGTTAAACAAACAACATATAATGTGTTAATAAGTTAGCTTTAGAGGTGCCAGTAAAAGGACATATAAACCTTCCGACAGAGCTAGGCTAGGTGTTTCCCATTGTTAACATTCTTCTTCTTCCTCACATAATTCTCAGAAGGAAAGGGAATTAGCCTATTTCCCCAAATTAGCTTTTTGACACACTGGCACAATTTTTCCACACAAAAAAAAAAGTTACGCTATGTCCGGGATTTAAATGATTCAAGCTAGTAATGTGACGTTCGCGAACGATCCGATTCTTTTGAATGGCGCTTTGGTACGAACGAAGGGAACTGAGTTGTACTTGGTGAGAGCCGTTCATTTTATCGTTGGTTCACTGCCTGCCATAAATCCACTCGCCTTTAAAGGAACTTGCTTTCCTGAATGCAAATTTGCCATAGATGTTGGCATAACGCATGCTGCTTGAGTAGTAGTTTGGCTGGCTGAGATGTAGCAAGTTATACATTTTCTGTGAGTAAAAGTAGATTTGTGGCAATACAGTCAATCATTGATTCTTTCGCATATAAACCTATTAACCTTAAAAAAAACACGGCTCTTTTGAACGGCTCTCGGAAAGGAACGGAGCCAAAAGATCCGGCTCCCTTTAAAGAGCCGTAATTCCCATCACTAATTCAAGCATTACCTATAGATGTTAGTTTAAAAAAAACTGACACTGACATTTTTGATTGACACAGGATAAACAGCCGTCTTAAAACTGACACTAGAGCTGTTTGTGAAGCTTCATCGTTTGTGTTTAAAGCCACTTACCCAGCTTCCGTATTTAACACATTAGGAGTGTGAATGCTCTGACCTTTGCCCTTAGAAAACCATTTCACTTTTCTTCAGGATAGGTCGTGCTTTTTTATTCGCTACGTGCATATATGTGTGGTCATGTTCAGATTACTTAGGGTACTGAAATGCTTATTATTTTCTTGCTACATCTTATTCAATTAAAGGGGGACCTATCATGCAAAATGCACTTTTGTAGGTCTTTTATACATGAATATGTGTCCCCGGTGTTCCAGGGAACTCACCAAGTGTCAGAAAACACAACCCTCTCTATTTTCCTCCATACCCAAATCTCTAAAAAAGGGGCTGCAACGGATCTGATAAAAACTGATCCAGATTTGAACACTTTACTGACGTCAGGAAAGTGGCGCTACGGCTATTGGGCCAACTCTCCACCTATCAGGGGAATGTGGGGTTGGGCCACGGCCGGCCATTGTCGCTCGAAAGCGCTGGAGATGCTGTAGTACAATATGCCAGGCCTGTAAGTGGCGCTGTAGTCTGCCACAATAAGCAGCGAAGAAGACTTGGTTACCATGGTTACCCTTCTGTTTATTCTCCGCTGTGGCTTTCTTTCTCCCTCCCCGAGGCAAGCGTTTGCTCCCGCTGCTTTAATTCAATGCAATCCCTCCCCGTCGAGGCAAGCACTGTAATTCTCTCCGGTTAGTCCACCAGCAGATGACAAACACCCACCTCTCCGCCTCTTCCAAGGAACGAGGGGACCTTGCGGCAGAGTTTCAGTTTCAGTTTCTTTCGCCGGTCAAGATGTCCGTTAAAGTTTAAAAATTAGAAAAGTGCCAGTCAAAGGTCTTCTTTGTTATTTATTGAGCTTTAAAACAAATGAATAACGACTCTATATAATAAAACACGGAGGACGGAGATCTCTTTTTCTCCCCCTCTTCTGACAGCCCAGCAGCTGATCAGAGCACGTCTCCCCTCTCCTGCAGGGGGGCGTGGTCAGCTGCAGCTCAGCCCCGTAGACAGCAAACAACACATAGAGCGAAATGAGGCATGGCTAAAATGCATGATCTGTTTGGTATTTCGAAAACAGAAACGTATAAATATACCTTATATAGGTATGGCCCTACAATATATCATTTAACTATAGCATGATAGGTTTCCTTTAAGTAAACAATCTTCTCTTTTAAATACATTCAATTTGTTTTTTTCTCAGGAAAGTGGTCAAAATGTAAGTTTATGCCAATACATGCATACTTATCTCTCCTAAAAGTTGTCCTAGCACTTCCGGTCATATTCTAGGACAAAAACTGTTATTTGCCTGAAGTCTTTGTCATGTCAGAAAGGCTGCTGAAGGAAAACAAAGCAGAACGAGGAAAACTGGTTATCCTAACCTAATGCTGCGTTCACACCGGACGCGATGCGACTATTCGCTTCGCTCTAATCGCTCCTATCGCATCGCTCTAAACGCTGGAGGTTCACCGCGGCTGCCAGCTGTGTTTACTCGCATCATTCAAACAAGACGCGCTGGCTCGGGAGCTACAACTACAACAAATGAACATATTTTACCGTGATTAAATTGTAATACACGTTTCTAAATGATGCCGAAGTAACAACATACTGATACCGGTTAGTAACAACCATGAATTAATGCTTTGACAAGTCTGCAGACAAGACGGCAGGCAAAACACCTTTTAAAATGCTTGTTTTCTGAATGAAGATCGGATCGACCAGGCTAAGCTAACGTTGTCTATGCTCATTCCACACTCATAACAACGGCCTACAGACATAAATAAGCAGCGACTGTATTCACCATGACACAGACAGTCTGTGGTTTGTACTTGTTTAACTTTTGTCCAGTTTCTGAACGGATATGAGGAGCTGTGAGCTCTGTGTGCTAACTGCTAACAGCTAACGGTTGATGTTGTGTGGTTGAACGTCAGTGACGGCGGCTGAGATCCTCACCGCTGATTGGCTTCCGCGAGAACGCGTCACGTGAATTTGACGCTCGAGTTGAAAAAATTGAACTCTCGCGTTTAACGCGGCACCGTTCAATCGCCTCAATCGTGTGATTCGCGCTGCGTCCACCGCTTCATGCGCACCGTCGGAGCGAATTCGCGTCTGTCCACGTCTCTGCATTGACTTTACATGTAATCGCGCCGCCCCCAAACGTCGCATCGCGTCCGGTGTGAACACAGCATAAGAGAGTGACACACACATACACACTCCCTCAATAATCTCCCTGACACAAAGAACAAGTTAAAATGACAACCAGAACAGCCTTTGAAAGTCACACCTAAATCATTGAGTGACTCATTGAAGTTGCAGAGTCAGTCTTTGTCGGTGAGGGCGGAGCTGTGGGCGTGTGAAGAAAGAAGTCAAGAAGAGGTACAGGTGAGGCAGGTGCATGTCACAGCTAAAATCTGTCTGGACTCTACATCAGCAGCAGCTCACACACATCTCTACTATTGACGGCAACACACAGCCAAGGTAAGACCGAGAGATCCATATGAGATGTAGGGAAAAGAGTACATGATTGAAAAAAAAGAAGAAAAATCTCAATAACAACTGGTTTTATAGGCTCCGGTTTAGCCTGCAGAACCACATTTTAAGAAAGGAAGTCATTTCAATGTTGATGCATATGAGACGGAGTAGGGTCAAATAGGTTTTCCATACTTTTTGGTTTGTTTGATGCTTTCAGATAGAGGGACTAGAGCTTTGAAGTTGTAATGCTATACATCAAACCAATAACACATAAAAGGACCATTCTAAAAGTGGTGCTAAGACACGGTCATTTCTTAAGGCACTGACCGGTTTTCAAAGGAAGTGAAAGCACATTTTTGACAGTTACTGAAAAATAAAAGAGACAGTCCAGAAACGCTAAACTTAATTGAACCTGAAGGCAAGGCGGTACACAGAATAAACAAAAGCTCCTTAAAACAACTGACATATCATTCAAATCATTCCTTTAAACAAACTATGAGATCTGTCTGTATCTACAACTTGACAGGCTTTTGTTTTAACTATAAATTCACCTGCAGGTTCAAGTATCTGTGAATTTTTTAGCAGATGGCAAAATGTTGTCTTAATTCGGTATTTGCCTTATTTGTCTTTGTCCTACAGTCATATATCAAAAATGATCAATGAAATATGACAAAAATTGTAAAATGATTTGGAGTGATATATATTACATAACGGTTACATTGCGGTCAGACTGAGTATCTCAAATCTTCAATTTAGGAACAAATATTGTGGCTTAACTGTTGAGCTTGAATGCGTTACATTTATTCTCAACAGTTGAATTAACTCTATGGGTGTTTCTCAATCGCGAGTACGCTTGCTTGGTAGCACATGTCTGCCGAGCATCTTGCTTCAGAAGCGAGGCAAGAATACTTCCTGGTAGGGCTGTGCGATTATGGCAAAAATCATAATCACGATTATTTTGGTCAATAATTGATATCACGATTATTAAAAACGATTATCCATTTACTTTGAAAACATCCATATATTGAAAAAATTTTTTGAACAGTATGTTTTTAACAGTTGATTACCCTGAACTTTAAGTATAATTCAACAGAAAAAAAAAAAAAAAAAAAAAATTACATTTAAAATTTTTTTTTTAATAAAAATAATAATCGTTTTATTTCGATTACATTGTTTTCGTAATCGTTGCAAGCCAAAATCGTAATCGAGATTAAAATACGATTACCCCCTGTCTTTTTCTGAATTGATGAGTGATTGACTTGGTAATTTCCATTTCTGAGTAACCCCTCCTTAGCAGCTGATGGGGCCGGTTTGACCAGCACAGATCCACACACAGTGAGGCCACACCTAAAAATCAGACTCTGTCTCGGGGTGTTAACTTGTCTACATACAGTAAAACATCATCCAGCGTAACATCAGAAAGACAGAGATCCCCTGAACCCAACTTCTGTTTCTCTGGGAAACTACCAGCTAAAAGCCTTAAATCTGGTGTCCACAATTGTTTCTTTAGTTGTCATCAGCATAAGATGAATTGGAGTTATACTTTTATAATTAGCTTATCTACCGGGCCAGTGCTTCTCATCAGTTGCACCCAATTCCTCCGCCATTGATCCACTCCCACACCTGCCTCAGTGATGAAGCTGCAGAGAAAGCTGTTGCTGTCTGAGCTGAGGTCATGTGTGCTCTCTTCTCTCACAGAGGTTTTATTGTTTTATCACCAGCCTCTAAATTTCCCCCTCTGTTGTCTGAAAGTATCTTCGCAATGTGGCAGATGAATGTCTTCCGAAACCGCACCCAGACTCTACCTCTATCTCTATCAGCAGCTTCATGTCACGTCTTGATGACAGAAGCACCATCAACTGTGTCCTACTTATTCAATTGAGCAGATGTTTGCCTACCTATTTGTTTCATGTTTTTAAAAAAATAAAAAATGTGATTGGACTTTTTTCCTTCATATTTATCAAAACAAGATCTCTTTTTCCTAAGGATCTTCAATGCACCTAACTTTTGCAACCACTTTGCAGTGCATCTCCAAGCATCATTTGTTATTTTCACTCAAACAAGGACTCTGAAGCTGTGGGAAACAAATATTTCCTTGGTAAACCTAAACCCAACACACCCTAACTTTCCAATTAATGTTGCACCAGCTGCTTTATGGAAAGCCGCCAACAAGAGAAAAAGCCACTCAGCCAGTTATCCGTGCCTTCGCCTCAGTTTTTACTGTAACACTTTATCAAAAGATACACCGGTTGCTGTCAAGAATCAGACTGAAAGGCATTACCCGCAAAATGTTGAAGCTTTGGAAGAACAAGAAATACCAATTGGAAATGTCACGTTAGTTCATTCAGCCTTTTTAAAAAGATAAACTGTCAAACTCCCGCCGATATCAGAGATGTCCCTGCTATGTGTGGGAGGTAAGAGAGGACATTTAAGGGCTATGTTTGATGTCTTTAAGTATCACCTGCTGGTGTTTAGCTGCTGTCCTGTGCCTTAAATCGTTTGTTTACGTCCCTCACTTCCGTTTCGCTTCTCATTTGCTAGCTGGACAGCTGATCAGAGTGGTTTCTTGGCCCGATAGCTTGTGTCCGACACCCGGCCGATTCAACATGTTGAATCGGCCGGGTGTCGACCGTGAAAGGCCAAATAAGGCGTGTCACGGCCGAGGGTTCGGGACACACCAAATTGACTTTGGGCGACAAGGAACCCGTTGTCGCCAAACAACGCAAGACGGCCGATATCGGCCTGGTGTGTAGGGGCCTGCTAAAGTTAGACAAGAAAGGGGGATGCAAAACATTACCTGTACTTTTGCAAGTAATTAAGTCTTAAAGTTGTAATCCTGAAGATTGTAATTAAACCAAACCCTGTTTTCTGGTAGTGTTTGTATTTGAGTATTTGGCAGGGTTTAAGCAAAAGCCAAATGAATGCAAGTGGCTGAGTCTGCCATTTTGCACATACAACTATACGCAGGAAAAAATGCATGCAAATAAACATGGATATAAATCATGAAAAAATGCTAATCTGCATCCCCTCAAATGTTATGTTGATACAGACAACAATACAGACACAATTAAAATAAAGCTGTACATGTTATTCATATTAACTACAAAATAAGATGACGAATCTATCGATGATGAAGCATGAGCAAAACAGTCAAATTAGACATAATCATAGGCGATTTAAAGGTTGTGGTAAAATGACTTTTCTGATAAATCATCTAAATAGTCCAAAATAAAACAAATAATTCCCTGCATCCTTCCAAGCATTTTCACTGCGTACCGACACCATTTTTTGTAGGTCTGTAGGTGAGCGACCACACCTGAAATCTGTCGGCAATGACTCAAAAGAGTCCCTCCCGAGGCATTTCCTGCCAGGAATACTGACAAGAAACATCCATACAATGCAGAACATACTGTATAACAGGTGCCAACAAAAACATGTGTCAGTAAGAGATGACAGTGGATTTTAGTCATGCTTCGGCTCTATCTGGTGCGGCAATCAGCAGAAACACAGTTGTCTTGAAAGTAGCGTTCCAGCATTGAGAAAGATCTTTGGTATGTATCTTCTGTTGACCAATCACAACAGAGCCGGCCAGCTAACCAATCAGAGCAGACTGGGCTCTGGTTTCAGACAGAGGGTGAAAAGAGGTGCTGCAGCACAGGCAGTATGAGAAAAATAAAGACCTTTCTGAACATTAAAGCATGTAAACATGTCACAGTAGAGCAGTGTTTCTCAAAGTGGGGGACGCAGAGGCATGACAGGGAGGGGGGGGGGGGGGGGGGAGACCAGGAGGAAAAATGGTTTTGAAAAATAAAAAATCATAATTTGAAAAATGATTGTTACTTATTGTTCTAGCAAAGGGATTGCACAATTGTATTATGTATTTATTTTTTGGAGCACACAGACTTATGGAGCATTGTTTTATTATCACTGTTCTAGCAAAGTGTTTTTTTTTTTTTTTTTTAAAGGAATGCTCACGTTCATATTGATGTATTTTAATAAATATTAACTTTGTCCATTACGTGATTATTTGTGTTGGGGGGGCCCAACTATTTTTTTTCCTTCAAAGGGGGGGCCTGACATAAAAAGTTTGAGAACCACTGCAGTAGAGACACAAAATACAAACCTGAAAATGAGCGTAATATGCCCTTTTTAAGTACATTTTGAAGCCAATACTTTTGTGCTCGCAAGATTTTGAATGCGGGACTTTTACTTGTAACATAGTATTTTTATAATTTACTGGTTTTAAGTACAGTATGTATCTAAGTACTTCTTCCACCACTGATCATACTGCTGTGTATTTTGTCGTCACTTTTAAATGCAGAAGAGCACATTTTTTAAACAATCTTTCTATTACCTCTTTCAGCACAATGAGTACAGATGGGAAGAGTCCTCCTCCCTACGTCATACCAGGTAAACCTGAACGCACCACGCTCACACACATCATCATAACCAGCCTGGCTAATTAATTAACTTGTGTTGTTTTGTCTGTCCTCCTCTGTTGCATTTTTCTGCTTTTTTTCCAGTTGGAGTGCAGGATAAGAATAATGTGCCGGTTTACCATCTTCATACTCCGTTCACCCCTCCTACACACGAACAGCAGCCCGGCATGACGACCTGCACCTCCTGCCAGCAGCAGGTCATGACCAACGTCACCTACAAAGCAGGGACGTACGCCTGGCTCATGTGCTTACTCTTCATCTGCTGCGGGTGAGTCTGAGCTTCAGGGTTTGTGGATTTCTGCAGACAAACTAAAACATGCATTTCATTTGACCTCCATACCCACAGAGTACAATATAAAAGCAGACCTACCGAAGGTGATATTGTACTTTAGTGAGGCAACAGCCTTTTCGAAGTTTCAATTTTCCAAATATAGCTGAGATACAATTCAAGGCCTCAGAGCAGTTGCTTTTTTTGTTTGTAAAATCGACTCAAGTTGCTTAGTGTGGTGATAATTCACCAGACTTCCACCACCACCACCTCACTTCACCAATAATTCTCAAAGTGAGCTCGATGGCATTATCCTTGTTCTCTAAAAAGTCAAACCATACATATCTTATGATAAAGATTTTACAGATTTTTACCAGGAACTACTTTCTCTGTTTACGAATGAATTATACGAAAATATATCATTAAGAAAAGTTTTAAATGCTCAGTGCAGAAAATGAACATGTGATTGTTTAGCAGAAGAAAAAAATAAAACTGGCTAAATAAAAGTCTTCGAATCGAGTTTCTCGAGTTACTCTGACTCATCACTAAACCCTGAGAGTAAATTATAACTGGGAGTGTATAAAACTGTTTTTATTTTGTAATAGGCAATAGACAACAAGCCTGTATCTGCACCAAGGCTTTAGTCTGTCTACTACAGAAGGGTCTTTTGAATTCTTTTAAAATTAGAAACCATATAATTTGTTTGTACAGTCCCTAAAAAAGTGTATGTTAAAAATGTTCCCATACAGTTAAATGACACTAACTCCATGTATGTGTGTGTGTGTGTTGCAGGTTGTTCTGCCTCTGCTGCCTGATTCCTTTCTTCTTGAAGGACTTCAAGGATGCGTACCACACCTGCCCTCGATGCAACAGAGTGCTGCACATTGAAAAGAAAAAGTGCTGTAAAAAATGATGAACCTGATGGCAGAAACAGACCCGTAGAAATAATAAATAACATCCCTTTACCTTTTTGTCTGATCAGTTTCACCATTTTTACAAAATGGTCAAAGGTGCAGTACAATGTTTTTATTTCTATGGATGAGCCATTGCATTTGCTGAAGCTAAAATCAAAATCATATTATTATCAAACGGACTGGGAGTCGATGTGATGTCTTAATATTATGTGCACACTTTTTAAAGCTCTGGCTAGTTTAATTAGCCCATTAGCTTAATTTTTTGTTTAAAGTCGTGAAGTACAACTGCAACTTTGACATTTGAAGATCAAATAATATAAATCTTTTATCAATAGCAATCAATATCAGGATTTTTTGAAAGATTAAGAGAAATGCTTATATATATGTTAATTGAATGTCTTCCCTATGATTTTTTTTAACGCTTTATATCTCTGCATTACTTTTATAATGAACTTGAATATGTTCATACATTTTTCATCTCATTCTATATTTAGTTGTTGGGCACATCGAACAGCAGTTTTCTTTCTAAAATATATAGAAGGAAACAGTAGTCCTATGTTACCAATGACTAAATAAATGTTATCCAGTCAAACAGTTTGACCGATTTTAAAAATGTCTTTAGATTCGTGGTCGGGCACAAATGGGTTAAGCAGACCCCATGCAATTTTTGGGAGCCGTTTTATGTTTGTCCCATTCCAGCAGAAAAAAACAATAAATATATATAATCCTTTTCAGAAACATCTGCATACGTTGTGTTGTTCAAATGAAGGGCTTGTAAATAAACTGTTGTATGTACCTTTTCTGTACTTGGGAGAAGCAATAGACACATTTCCACAGATGTGGACAATAAAGTAAATATATCTATCAAATACTTTATGTTTCAAATAATGTTTATTTAAAATTGCATGTGACACAGTGACGCCAAATCAATGCAACATTGTATTAACACATTGGAGAAGTACAACACTCTTTATTTGATTATAGCCTACCTGCAATGTTTTTATGAATATTTTAATCAAATTCAGCATTTTTCAATTGGAAAGTTTTCTTCTTCAATATAATTTCACCTTAAAGGGGACCTATCATTCAAAATGCACTTTTTGATGTCTTTTATACATAAATATGTGTCCCCGGTGCAGGGGCGGACTGGGACTACAAATCAGCCCGGGACTCTCGACCGGCCCACTTCGGTACCGCCGGCCCACCTCGGTGCCGCAAGTAAATACCGCGAGGAAATTGTCGGGGGGGGCCCACATCGTCCGACCGGCCCACTTCAGTACCGGCCCATCGGGATTCGTCCCGAACGTCCCGATGGCCAGTCCGCCCCTGCCCCGGTGTGTCGGGGAACTCAGAAAATAAAACCCTCTCTCTTTCCTCCGTAACCAAATCTCTAAAAACGGGGGTACAACGGAGCTGATCCAGATTTGCGGCGTATTGACGTCATATCGGCAATGTGGACCCACGGCACTATCAGAAACTATCAGTTTAGGACGTAATATGGTCGGTGTTTACATTAGCATCGCTAACACTCAGAGCTAACCTGTACTGGAGAGCATGTGTGTGAAGAAGCAGGATATAAAAAGGAACTCACCTTGTGGTATAACCGGCAAGAGAGAAAGCCTTTGAGCTCCATACTGTTTCAGCAATAATCCTTGATAATCCATGATATGGCGTTTCATCACGGCAGTATTTAGTTTAGACAGTAGCTGCCGGGTCCTGCATGAGCTCAGCCCCCCTCCTTTTTTATTTTGTATAATTCTTTTTTTTTTTTTTTAAGCTTTATACCCAAAATCAGCACTTTTGAAACAGGAAGTGAAATAGAGGGATATGAGGCATGGCTAGAATGGGTGATCTGTTTGGTATTTTGAGCAAAACACTTCATAGACATGTTTTTTATATATTTGTATATATCTGAGACTTATGCTATTGCCTAAAAATAGCATGATAGGTGACCTTAAAAACACTGAACAGTAAGGATATGTCAATTGATTTGATTTTTTCAGTCCACCTTTTACAAGAAGAATGTATATATTTTTTGTAAATGATTTTATATTACTAACCTGGATAGACCTCTTTTTATTGGATATTAGGGCTTCTTCCATTATAACGGCAAAAAGTAGGCCTAACGTTACCCTAGGCTTGTTGAGGCTGTCGAGGCTAACGATAAAGCTAGCTAGCAGTAACTTAAAACGGGAAAAGATGGGAGAAAAATAAGGCTGTTGGGAATTTCCACAATGCTGAGACATAACAAAGTTCTAAAAAACTCTAAATGACAAAATTGGAATATACTAATTTATTATGGACCAACATTTTTTACTTTTCTGGCCCCCACCATTTGTGGCAACACTTCACAACTCCTAGCTGCGGGCTAGCTTTCACATTATTTAAATTAAGAAAGAAACCCTTTTTGAAAACGTACTAAATTATGAATACCACATTAAGGGGGGACATTAATATGGATTCTTAGTGTTAACACAGCTCATTAGAAAGTAATTATAAATGCTAAACATTAACTTGTTAGCGCGCGATTTCTTTTTTAGCATTAAGCTAGCTCAAAGCCAAGCTGCAGAACTGTAGTCTCGTTTAAATTGAATAATGTTGTCTTGGGATTTGGGGCAGCATGCTGAGCTCTGTCCAGCTAATTATTGCTCAATGAAAAAAAGAAAACCTTTAACTGAAAAACCCGTCAATCATGAAGTTTGCTGTATTTGGTACTCAGATGAAAACGTGTACGGCATGTGGTTAGGTTTTAAATGTCTATATTAAGGGCCGGTCCCCCAGCCATCTAATAAGAGGAGATCTACAGTTTTTAGGTTTATGGCAACTTAAAATATCGAAGTTATAGTTGGACATTTTGGAAAAAATACACTTATTCGCTTTCTATGCACAAGTTAGATGAGCAGATTGAGTGGTATCGATTTTCTCATCCAACTCTCCACCAAAATAAAGAAACAAGTGCATTTCCCAAAAATGTTGAATCCCTTTAACAGTGTTTCAGGTCAAACACTGGTGTGGAAAAGCAGCAGAGTGGTGTTTTTTGTTTTTATAGAAAATTTTATTCAACATACATTTTCCAGCAAAAAGGCAATATACAGGAATAGTTGTCGTACACTGCTGCTACACTGAGGATTTTAAACTGGAAAAGATCAAATTAAGGTATGATTCTGCAGGTCATCTTTGTACTGCACTTTTTAACAAGACAAACCCAATGCAGTTAGTTTTGAAAAGAAAAAATAAATCCAAATGTAACAGAAGAAAATCGTCAATGGTACATCAGGAACGCAGAAAAAAAGAGAGAAAACCCTACACACAAGAAATATGAACACCTGGCTCCTTCTGTACCCAACAACAAAATGGCGCGTGCTTCTCTTAAATTTTACACGTTAATATTTTTTAAATATACAATTCTTAAATGTTGTCTTTACAGAGCCAGCTATGCGCTATTAGGGGAGCATTCCATCTGTGCTTTAAAAGAAACAAGAGAAATTAATTCGTAGGGCTTAAAGTGTTTTTTTTTTTCTTTTTCTTACAATGCTGGTTTTGTCTCTACACAATCCTCAAACCTGTTGTGTCTGCAGCTCCCTAGCAAGCACAGCGCAGTTACTGCTACCAACCACCTGGAGGCGACAGTCAACCAAGAGAGAAGATGACAAAGCTTGTGTGTGTGTGTGTGTTTAGAGGATGAATGAGAAAGACAAGAAAACCCCCAGAAGAAACAAAAGGACGTGAAAGTCAAGGGGGTTAATGTCCGTGCATGTGTGTGTGTGTTCCTTTAAAAGTAGCATTGCAACGGAAAAACCAAAATACACATTTGCCAGTCCTGAGAAACCTCTGACATTAAGTGCCAACGTGCAAGATGAAATACAGACAAATTTCCTCCTCATTTTTTACCCCATTTATTTTTAAACAGATGCTGTGGATTTTAATTTTATTATACAAGATCTGCAAGAAAGAGACAAAAGAAAAAGAATTCTTCCTCCAACAACCAAAAACTAAGTGAGAAAGACTTGCGTGTAAACTTGGAAATACTTGCTTAGTTGCACTAAAAAGGGATGGGAGCAGAAAATATAAAGAACCACATCAGCGCAACTAGTTAGCCTCTGGATGGACGCCATCGGAAAACAAATGACCATCATGCCCTTTCCCCCTCTTTTCTGTCAGTTAGTCCTCGCCCACATCCTTCCATCAAACTCTCCGCCTCTTCAAACAACTTTATTTAAAAACAACCCCCCAAAATAATGTGAAGGGACAAAAGAAGCTGGTGAGTGAGGTGGGAGAACAAAAAACTAAGTCTAGAAGTTCATATATATATATATTTGTGTATATATATATATTTTTTATACTGTGTCCCACTTCCTCTCTGCTTATTTTATATTAAAATCAAATTTCTCCCACTTCTGGACCAAAAGGAAAAACAAACGGCAGTCACAGGTTTAGAAAGCCAGGGGAAAAACAACAACAATCGAGCAGCCTCGAACATGGAGGGAGACGATAAAAAAAATAATGAAATCAAATAATCAACAAAATCAACAGTCAGGAGGTGGTTGGTGCAGTTTATTTTGTGATTGAAGGATAACCCGTCAGTTGCAGCAAGATCCGAAATCGCTGAAGACATAGTGCCGGTGTAGAGCTGTAGAGGTGTCCAGGCAGGGTGTTAAGTGATGAACACACACATACGCACGCACACAGTCTCACACAAACAAACACACACGGTTGGTTACAGTCTGTGGTTATGGTGTGTTAAAGTAGGTAGGGAGGAAGGCGGAGCAGGAGAAGGAGGAGGAGGACATAGAGGAAGGGCGGGCTGCTTTTATTTTTAGTTGTGGATCTTGATTGCTTTCTCCAGGTAGGTGTAGCGACCTCTCTTTGGAGCTTTGTTGAAATGATCCAACCCGAGCCAGGGACGCGGGTGAGACATGTTACCTGGAAGAGAGGTGAGTGCACGTTGAGTCTCCCATTTCAAGATGTAATCGCTGTGATACTGAGAAATATTTGTTAACGTCCATGTTTATTGGCAAAACTGGTATTCAAAAATGTTTTTCATATGTGCATTATCACCTTAGTTAACATTGTTGTGTTTTCGTTAGCTTAACATTGGCCTTAATCTATGCCGTGTTGTGCTTTTATGAGTCTTCAGTAGCCCAAAATGGACAAACCAAACACATCAGAGTCAATGCCAGGCTAGTTTTCAGCTAAATCCTACACACTGGACCTTTAAGCATTTACAGTTTAGTTCCAATAAAGCTTAAATCACACTAAGCTTCGTCAGTGCGAACGATGACATTGCTAGCTAGCCAACAGCAGAGATCGTTGCTTCCTGTGAAGGCAAGGCAGCAGTGTGAGATTTGAGACGCTAAACTGTCAAAATTATCCCTGCCCATGTGTTCACAGCGTACGACATGAGAGAAAACAGAAAAACAAGTGTGGCAGTGAATGACGAGCAAAACGCAGTTAAGACTCCTTCACTGAGGTGAAATTAAATGAGTTCACGTTAATTATGTAAATGTATGTATTCCTTCTTTCTTTGCAGGGATCAGGAGGAGTCTTTGGTTTGGGAAACACGTTGTAAGTGAAGTAACCACAGCAGCGATGGTTGTGTTTACATTAAAAGCAGTAAATACCTGGCTGTTCAAAGTCCTTCAGGTTGACCTCGTACTCGTCTTCAGTGATGTACTGATGCCGGCCCATCATCACTATCGCAAACTTGAACTGAGAAAGAAAACACAGAAATGCACGTTACTTCACAGCCCGACACCTTTTAGTACATTCTGCCACACTGCATGTTGAACAT